AATTAAGAGTTTTTTTTGCCATTATGCTTGTTTATTAACATTCTCATTGATTCTATTTTATTGGTGAGCCGTTGAGCTATTGGAAGCGAGTCAACGGAAAACATTCTGGAGAATAGTGAAAAGCTTGTGCATTTTGAAAGTTTAGATTTTAAGGATCAAAATTTTATCTTTTTGATAGTACTATCTTTTTTCTCTTTAGTATGGGTAAATAACTCACTTAATTCAACCAACAAGTATTAAATAATTCGTTGAACGATTGAATTAGTTATAATGTTTTCTCTTCACTGTTATCTGGAGTTCTTCAATCCATTTTTTTCTACTCATCTCAACTGGTTTAAGATAGCTAAGTCCTAATTATATTTTATACGAAGTATACTCACCATATTTCGTTTTAGGCGATGAAGGACTTTTAGTGGAATTTTCCCACAATTATGTTAGTAGGCCTCACATTTCAATTGAATTTCACTTAGTATTGCTCACAAAAGAGTACTTTATTATAGGATTTACGCCATTTTCGACTTCGGCTAGGTCTCATCAGCGCCCTCAACGGGACACAAACCCAGGTAATGCAGCGTATGGTCTCGATACCTTAACCACTAGGCCATACTATCATGGCTGCCATCAGGTTGCAGCGCAGAGACGCGTCTCAAATAAAGCCTTCTCATATCAATTTTTATAGTAGGATTGACGATGAAGCAAATTTTTATTTAAAAGATGTTTGTCCTTGTTTTCACAACTTGTTCATATTGGTAGGAAGACTTAGAGGAATGCACCTAGTCCGGAGTCCATTGTATGCATGCTAATTTCCAGACAGACAGTGGACGTGATACATTCCCAGACCTTTCGCTGGCATCGTCAGTGGGTCTTGCCATTCTCAGCACAACACTACAACTCGTCAAAAAGACAGGTGAAGCCGAACCTTTCTCCAGTTGTCTGCTAAACAATCGTGGTATCTCTCCTTCCGCCATGAGCTAATCCCCAATCCTATATCCTCGTATCACACCTTCACTATCACAATGTTTTTTGCTTATTAACATTTAGTGTGCTGTGACCTTTTGAGCGGCCTTCATGAGAACTCTCCACGCTCCATGCAGACTTTCCCACGCCTCCTCACCCCCTTTCACCCTTATGCTGGCACTTTTAATCAGAGTTAACCCTATTGTTAGGCTCTCATCCTTCCATAGCTCTTGTCAGAGTCTTCCTCTTGCCTAGTAGGATGCGTTCGCTATCTCTGGTTCAAGTATTTCACTCTACCCCTGCCACCCCATCTGTGCTACTCTAGACGTTATTACTCATCCCCAGCGTCTGAGTGACTAATTCGAGGCTAAAGCCTCTGAGTAAGTCTCATGGTCAATCCCTTGCTACATAGACCACGTCTATGGTAAAACACGTCTATTGTTAACCAAATAGCTTTAGTCTCCACCGCGTCTATCCTGTTTCTATCCCTAATACCATGTCTATCACTTCCTATGTCTTAGTTTCTTGCGTGCCAACCCACAAATGTGGTTCTACCTGTTTTGATTGGGCTCACTGAAGACGTTGCCTCTTGCCTTCTGAATGCTCCTTTCTGGTCTTCCTGCGATTTCTCTTCCTAAAATTAAGGATGTTACTTTGACCTAGTCATCTTTATTTTGCTGATCTTACTGTTGCCTGGTCTTCTCCGAGTCTGTTTAGGCAATATGCAAAGTTTTCGCTGATCTTGCTTTTAAGTCTCCTGTTCATTAGATTTCTCTCGGTCAGTATATCAATGGCTTCTTGGATCTTGCTTTTTCTCGTACTTTCACCATGTGCACCCAGCCTTTCGGTGAATTTTCAGTCGATTTCGCGTCTTGTTCATGCAATGTGTTCCGCTATTTCGGATCTTTCCATATCCATGTTCCTGCAGAGTCTTTGATGTTTTTTTATTCATAAGCCGATTTTTCTTGCTGTCTCACCGATATACTTTGCTCACAATTACCATATTTGATGCGGTAAACTCCCGAACAATCAATTTTATCAGTCTTCTCGTGTTGCGTGGGCAGACTGAGGAAATGTCTTTTCTTCTCACTTCTTATCACCTTGATATTCTATTTCCTTAGTAACGGTTGCACTTTTGGCTCAGTTCTGATGAGTGCAGGCAAAACCACTTCTGGTCGTTCTGGTTCCTGATCTGATTTTCATAAAATCTGAGTTTAAATCCGCTCACATTATAACCTCAACATTTTTTCCATTAATTCTTTAGGATACCCATTACTAAGGCAAATTCTTGTCAGTTAGTCCAACTCTTCGTCCGAGAACTTAGTGTCCGTTAGTCGTAAGCTTCTGATGGTCAAACTCCTCAGTATTCCGATCTTTAGTCTGTAGTTATGGTGAGACTGAAAATTAATGATTATACTCGCATATCAATAATTTCTTTATAGTCTCCTCATGATTGTCATGTTGGAGCGCATGACTTCAATATCGAGAAAGAGTAGTTGTTCATCTTTATCCACTTCCATAGTGAATTTAATTCTTTGATCAAGTTGGTTAATTAAATTGAGGAATCCATTCAAATTTTCCTTACTATGTGGCCAAAGTGCAAAGCAGTCATCCAAGTATCGCATAAGCATTCTTGGTTGCAGTGGTGACCTCTCGAATTTTCTACGAATCAAGGAACATCAAAGATTCTGCAGGAACATGGATACGGAAAGATCTGAAATAGTTGAAAACATTGCATTAACAGGACACGAAATCGACCAAAAGGTTTGCTGCATATGTTGAAAATACGAGAAAACGCAAAATCCATGAGGCCATCGAGATACCGACCGAGAGAAATCTAATGAACTTGAGGAAGGCAGAATAAGCGAAAACTTTGCAGATTGCCTAAACAAACTATGAGAAGACCAGGCAAGAGTATAATCAGCAAAAAGAAGACGACTGTATCAAGGATGTATCACTAAACGGAGGAAAAGAGATCGCGATGAGGAATTTTGGGAACATGGAGTTTCGACAATCAAGCAAAGACGTTGTCAGTAAGTGATGTCCATTTCGAATAAACCAGTACAACTTTTGGAGTCTGGCAGTCAAGGAGCTAGGCAGACGGATAAGCAAGCCGTTACAGAAATTCGAGGTTATGGCCAAAGTATGCTGGAAATCCACTTGAGATGCCGAATACGACCAGAGATAGGCGTTCAAAGTTTTCCCAAGTAACATGGGTTTAATCAAGGAGACAACCCGTGAAGGGAATGACTGATATCTGTAAGCATGGGAATCAGAGCCTAGGCACTCTGCTCAGTGAAGCGGCAGTGTACGTGCTTCTAGGGCCTTGAGAAATAGTGCCTGGAGTGAAATGCACACTGGAACTGGAACCAAGTGAAATCGGTCAACCAGAAAGATAAGGAACGGATCTAAGAGACAATGAGGGGATCCGGATTGGAGGTCGAATCGGATTAGCCGATCGAAAGAGAGGGGGTCTTGGTAAATACCGAGTGAGATGAGGACACATTAGATTTGCCACAAAAGGGCACACATTTTGACGAATGGAATGTAAACAAGTGAGAAGTTGTGATAGGGTGGGAGTTGGACAAGAGGGTAAAGAGTAGATAGATAGGCCAGGACAGAAATAGGAGTGATAGTGTAACATTTTTTGGCAGAACGTTTGCCGAGGGATTGAGTTCACTTGTCTCTGACGAGTTCATAGTTTGGTGCGAAGAATGGCAAAACTCACTGATGATGCCGGCTAAGATGCCGGCGAAACGTTTGAGAATGTACCGAGTCCACTGTCTGATGCTGGGAATCATGATAACTACTATGACAGACGACTTCGGACTAGATGGGTTCTACTAAGTCGCCCTGACAGCAAGACCAAGTTGCGACAACGAGGTCAACCAACTTCTATAAATCGAAAGGAGACTGCGACCATACCAGAGGCCACATCATCTAGGCCTTCATAACTTCAATGGTGAATGTAGTTCTTAATCAAGATTTACTACTAGTCCTAAAAAAACCTTTCAAAATACAACTTATATAGTTCTTGCTTCATCTCATTTTCGTCACTTGAATGGACCAACAAGGAGACCTTGTGTAATGTATTCATTTCTACGTCCACTTCCTTAGTAGTCATGATCATTTCCAGAATCCGGCCGTGGACTTGGTATGTTTTCATTTCAACTCCTTAAACTATGTCCTTCATCTCATCACCTTAATTATTAGTTTCTAGAACTATTCTCAAGCCCGTGTTTTTTCTACTTTTTCCATTCATTTTTTTTCTTGCTTCTAGCTATATGGAGCAGCGCTGTGCTTCTACGAGCCATACGATGTTACCCGTCTTGACAATGATAAATGCTATCGCCTCAGCATTGATCCAGAGCTAGCATTGGCCCTGCGTCACCGTAACTGCTTTCGTAGTCGGGCAAATGAACCTGATAGTTCTGGCGTTGTTTCACCGCCCGATTTGCCTCAAGGCCAGGTGAAAAATGTCGGCATTCGGGATACTTTAGAAGAGGAGGTGCCAGGTGAGGAAAATGGCGAAGAAGAAAAGAATGAGTGCATGAATCCAGCTTCTTTCGATTTCAATCAGAATCGACTAGGACACTTCAGCCAGTCGCGGGTTGGTGACCGAGTGATAGGTGTCACTAAGTCGATCTGTCTTCTCTCTAGATGGTCTTTCTCAGATGCCTTCCGCCAATTTCTTCTTTTTCTTTATGAACGTTGTCTTCTTCCATTAACGAACGTCTCGAATTGCGTCTTTGATGCCAGCCTTTTTGCTCTGACAAGTGGTCCGTCTTTGACGCCGTCAATGCCACCTTTGGAGCGGTAAGTGGTAATGAATCTTTATTTTTTATATTGGCACTTCTGAGTGTTTGTTAGTTTGTTAATTAAATATGTTCGCAATATTTTCTTTGTTGTTACATTATTTAACTTACTACCAATGGCTCATTACAAATTTCAGCCATGCTATATTCAACTAGTTATATAATCTGGATCTCAAATTTGTATATTTCGCTTCTCTAATTTTGTACAGATCCAATTAGGTTGTTTACATAATATCTAATATTTTATCTTATATATAAATAAATGTATTAACTTATATTCTATGCTATTTAGTTATACTTCTCCATTGTAGAATGGCTAAATTCTATGCTATTGAAAAACCGACAATGCGGAATAATCAAGTATATATATATATATATAAGTGTAAATATAAATAAATAACTATTTATTTATTTATATTCTATGGTTTTTAATTATACTTTACCTTAATCATTTTTCATGTTTCCCACTTGGTCTTAAGACTTTAAATCTCGCATTCAATCCCGTCAAATGTATAGCCACAAGTAAATCAACAAGTTTATGCTCCTCTTTCTTGGGGCTTTGAGAGATTAGATATAAGCATAAAGAACTTCTCCACAAGGCTTTCGAGGTCCGCCTGGGAATGTTACAGTATACGTGCTATTAAACTAATGAACGTGATATAATGCTTCGAGCATGGCGGATGCGGTGGCAGTGGCTTATTAACAGGAATGAGACAGGGAGTTAAGAAGTGGATAATCGACGGAACGAGGAAGGCCGTGATTGATGTTATAGATACATGAATACAGATAGAAAAAGCAAAGCCAGGTCATGAATTTCCGCTTAATAGAGGGGAC